TTACCACAAGCCTCTCATCCCTACACCCCAACCCAAGGAAACAGGTGTCCTTCCCGAGAGATGCTGGACACCTTCAACAGGCCGGCTTTCTTGCCCCGTAGGTTGTTTCTACAGGGGCCCCAAGAGTAGCAGTTTGCTAGAAGGACTTTATTTTTAAGGTATATTTATTTGTTTATTTGTAAAGTAGAGTGACATAGAAGGAGATCTTCTGCTGGCTCACTCCCCAGATGGCCTCAATAGCCAGGACTGGACCAGGTTGGCATCTCCTATAGTACTGGATTCCTACGTTGTAGGAATGCAAATACTTAGACGGTCATCTGCTGCATTCTAGGTTCATTAGCAGGAAGTGGAGCAGCCAAGACTTGAACCAACATTTAAAAAAATTAATTCTCTATTTTAAGTGGACAAATTTCATCTGTATCACAATATGGATTAAGGAGCTTGGAACTATGTCCCACGCTACCCCTTCCTGTCTGGATTCCCCTACCCAATCCCTCCTTCATTATTTCTTTGGTTGTTTAATAGTTTATACAATAGCATACTTTCATTTCATTCTGTAACCATGGTTTTAACATTCCATTTGGTAAAGATATCAACACTTTGCAAGTAGAAAATAATTATAATAAAAAATAACAAAAAAAATCGAAACAAAACAAAAATGATAAAACAGCCTTCTGACATAGCATGCAAGTGTCCCAAGCACCAACTCTACCACAACACCCACATCTGAAAAAAAAAAAAAACATTTTGAAAGACTTTGATACACTGTTCCCAGTTCCCTAATAAAAGTACCTGTTGTGTTCATATTTGTGTAGCTAAGAAAGATATCAACTGATTTTTCCATGAACGAAGATCTTTGATGTAATTTTATGCTCTTGAAGGTAAACAGAAATAGTTGCAATTTGCTTTACCAAAATAACCTTTGTTTACCCATGCCTCCATATTTTAAAAAATTGATAATATGCACATATATTATATGACAAATGATATACTTTGCCCAAAATGAAAATTGGTCAACTACTACATATTTAACCAATATGCCTTGTCATATCTTCTGATTCAATTCATATACTACCATGTCAATATTTATTTCTCTTGTATTAATCATGTTTGCAGCAGGAAGAAAACTCTCTTTAAATGTAGGCATGTTCTTCCAAACTGTTGTTAAGGGAGGATTGGACAACAAACCTATTTATGAATTAGTGTATTTATGAGTAAAATGAATATGTTTCAAAGAAAGTCATTTTTTTCTGTAGATCTAACTCAAAAGAGAACAGAATTGTACATAGTTCTGCAGTGTTTGAAATGGAATAGTAAATGGGAATTTGAGTCAACACACATTGTTAAACAATAATATATTTTAAAATCCATGGTTTGGAAAAGCATGGCAAGATTAATTTGAGTTTTTCTGCTGTTGTAAATCAATCATGTATTTTTGCCTTATCTCAAATGCTTTTGAGATTATGTATTTGTGTATTTAGTTGAGAGGCTGATTGACAGGGAATGAGAAAAAAATCTTTTATCTGATTGTTCATTCCTCAAATGGCCACACACCGGGTTTGAGTTGAGTCAGGACGAAATCAGGAGCCCAGAACTCTGTCCTGGTCTCCCAGGCGAGAAGCAGGAACTCAGATTTTTGAGCAGTCAGCCACTGTTTCCCAGATACATTAGCAGAGAGCTGAATAGGAAACAAAAAAGTAAAAAGTCAAACTGATGCTCCAGGATGGAAGGGAGAGTCTTCAATGGCGGCTTAACCAGCCACACCCAGTGCCTGTCCCATAGCTTGTCGTGTTTGCTTAACAATCAGTGAGGACATTTCTGTTTTCCTCAGTGTATAGATGCAGAAACTGAGGCTGTGTGAAATGAGGTAGCTAATCCAGTCTCACTGAGACGGACATGGCAGAGCCTGGAATAGCTGCAGGTGGTCTCCATGGCCTATGTTCCTCTGACATTCACTCATGTTGTCACTGGATTCCTCACTTCTTCGGTAGAACCCTCTGAGAAGTGGGTGTGGCTCGGTGCTGAAATTCTCAATGGTTTGAGGGGACTCTGTTAGTCTTTCTAGTACCCAAAAGTTATACAATTGTTTTGAGGCTTTAGATTTCACTTCAAGTCAATTGTTTCTTTGTTGTCTTACAATGACACAGTTAACCATCTGGCGATTTGAAATGCAAAGGAGAGTAGCCCGGTATGGAAATGACTGCCAGGTGGCACACAAAATCTAAAGAGATATTCAGAACATTTTCTTTTATTATTTTTTATTTACAATAAGCTGCTCAATTGCTTTTTATTAGCTCCAATGTGCATGCCATTCCCTTTATTTATTATTATCTTTTTCATGATACAGTTCCTTAGGTTCAGGGATTTCCTTCCCATCTTTCTCATGTTACTCCCCCAGCCACAAACACACTCTCCTACACTTGGATCACTCTGCCTTTCAAGTAAAATGAAAGCAAAATCTTAAAAACAACTTGAAATTATCTGCTTCAAGCTTCACGAATGTGCTACTAACTGTATGGAACTCCACTGCTGCATGGGGGAGAAGAAGCTAGTAGGGAAACCAATGAAGTGACAGCTGTATCATTCCAGGTGTCAGAGGGTGGGGACAAAGGGAAAAAGATGGTAGCAATGTTGTAGATTCCACTTGGACCTAGACAATGGGATTTGTTGATGTATTGGAGGTAGAAACCACTTGTCTAAGATAGGACTGAAATGCAAGTTGGACAGTATTCCACAGCTGTGCTCTCTTGATGTTAAGTGCTCAAGGGTAATGGGCCTTCACAAGTTCTGCATAATCTGGTGAATAATGTAGCTCTTCTGCTTTAGCTTCTGGATGCTAGGGTTATGAAATGAGAATGCCTTCCGGTGCCTGGAGCAAGTAGAACAGAGCTCCATGTCTTGAGGGAATTTTTCATGTAAGTTGCAACTGCCCATGTATGGGGTACAGAGTGTAGCGCACACATGGTTATCCTTGAGATCTGTGAAATGTCCATCTCAAAGCCACTCTAAGTGCTTTTCAGCCTTTTTCCAAAAGCTCCACAGTAAGAAGGAGAAATGCAGGTCTTCCTGGGAAGATTTTAGTTCAGCTTCGTCTTTTCCTGCCTTTGGGGTCTCTCAGAAAGCACATCATCTGATGTGAACCAGAGCAGACTGAATCACCCCACAAAACGGCACTTTTATTGTTCTGTCTTATCATAGAGTTCATGTTCCGAGATCAGAGTCTGCTTATGGGTCTGTTGTACTCAACAGAGTCACTTAAAACTAGTTCTAGATCTTCCAGGTCTGCCATTAACTTCAATCACTCAAGACACACATTATCCTCCACTGAGAATGGCACTAGGCCCCAGTAAACTCAACTTTAATTATCGTGAGTCAAAAATGCATGCAATGCGCTCAACTTGTGGAACATCCTACTCAGCCACATGGTACGGTGTAGGGCACAGTTGTGTCCTCCTGAGGCTGTGAACTGAGTAGGGGAGCTGCACCAATACATAATCTGGGAAGATATTCAAATTCAAATATCAAGTATGTTTTCCCCTTGAATATGTTTGACTTTTACACCACGCTAAAGTTTAAAAAATTATAAATTGAGCCATCATAATTCAGAGATTATCTATACAAATTTGCTTATCACGAGTCAATGAAATTGCCACCAAGCTGTTTGTGCAATACAAGGTGAGTAAATGTCATCCTGTTCAATTCATTTTGCTTAAACTGAAAGTGAGTGACCTTATATTTCAAGTAGGAAAGCTGACCTAAGCACACTTAGCACATCTGCTACTCATTTCTTACTTTCCTGAGGATAACATGGACAGACAGCTATATTTGTGGACTTAGACTGTTAAAGTACTTTCAAATGAGCTGATTTCATTTAAGATCATGAAAGGTCCCACGATCTTACTTAGGGTTCCCTTAACTACATCTTACAGAAAGAATCGAATAGCTCACTGAACTTGGCCATCCATTGGTTCTTGTTAAGCAGGAATCTGAGACAAGAATATGATCTGAGGCTGTCTTTTCCTGGTCTGCACATAACACTTGTTACAAAATCTTTTGTCATTAACTTGCCCTAGATATCAGCCCTCAAATTGCTTCCCTGACATGTCGTCTTTTCCATGGGGAAGGCAGCCACACCAGCTACTTTAAAAAAACACAATCACTTTGGGTCAGTCCTGTTGAGAGTTCTGAGCCCATCCTGTATTCTGTTTCCCAATTTTTTTCTCCAGATTAAGGAAATTTTCCTTTATTATTTCATTGAATACATTTTTTTAAATGTGACTTATCTTTCTGCGTGTTCTAGAACTCTCATAACTCTTATATTTTGCTTTTAACAGTGTCCCTTAATTTTCGAATACTTTTCTTAGTTTGACTCAGTTTCTCTTCCAGCTTTTGGATTGTTTCACCATTGTGGCAAGAAATGTCTTGCAATTATTAAATTCTTTCTTCTGCCTTACCCATTCTATGATTGAGACTATTCACTGAATTTTTAATTTGCTCTATTGTGTCCTGCATTTCTAATAATTAGGTTTAATTTTGTTCTGGTGTTGCTATTTCCTGTACAACATATCTTCTCCATTTCTTCAGCAACACATTAGTCATTTGGTGGTATGTTATTTAACTTCATGGCATTGTACATTTCTAGTTTTTTTCCTGTTGTTGATTTTGTTTTGTGGCTTTTCATTTAAGAGGATATATATAGTAACTGTGTAATGGAAACTATCATATCCAGAGGTTAGGATACAATGTTGTATATGCAACTGTACTTCCAAATCAAAGATGGACACCCAATGCAATGATGGACTTATGACTGTTTATGAATAACTATACTATTGTAATAATATAGGGGAAATCAGTGTGTGGGGGGGCGGGGTTGGGGAGAGGAATAAGGGAAATTTCAGAGCCTATGGAACTGTATCATATAATAATAATAGTAATAAAGAAATGGAGAGAGAGAAAAATCAACTCCAATGTGCCTTCTTTTCTTTGACTGCTTTTTCCAGGGCTCCGTCCTAAGAGGACTCTGCGCCTGGTGCTCTGGACTGCAGAGGAACAAGGTGGAGTTGGTGCCTCTCAATATTATCAGTTACACAAGGTAAAAAAAAAAAACTCTACTATGGCTTGCTAAGCATTTGCATAGGTCACTTCAACATTAAGAACTGTCTCATTAAAATACTTTGAACCTGTGCAAAACTTTTCATCTAGCCCTGTCAATGTGAATTCACTGTTGAAATGAGAATGCTGGAGCATAGAGTTCAGGCCTTTATCATTTCTAAATCACAGCCTGTGGCCTTAGAAAATTCAACTGATATGCTATCACTTTCATAGTCTCTGTAGTTTTGCTGTATTCATGTATACCACAGAAATAGTGAGAGATATACATCCTATCTCCACACTGAGTTCACTTATACCCTTTATCTCATCGTCGTAAATCTACTCCGAAGTCCTGAAATATACGAGCCAAGTGCTGAGGTCTTGAGTCTACCAATATCATTACTATAACAGTGGTGGGGATGGTGGCTTCTAAGGCTCTCATGCCTTGGCATGTGAAAGAGGAGGTTGGCTTGGTACAAACTGGCAATAAACAAACATGTAGCCTGAAACAGGTAGGTGGTCATAGGAGATCATGATAAGAAATGTAATCCCTATGTAAGATAGGGAACAGGGAAAATAATGTCACAAAAACTTGTTTAAGATGTGTTTCAAAGTTACAGAGAAAAGTAGAGACAGAGATCTTCTATCTGCTGGTTAATTCCCCCAAATAGCAGCAGAAGCAAGCTTTAGACTTTGCTGAAGCCAAGAGCCAAGAGTTTCATTTAGAGCTCTCACACGGGTGCAGGGGCCCAAGGATTTGTGCCACTCATCATTGTTTTTCAAGATGCATTAGCAGGGAGCCAGATCAGAAGTAGAGCAGCCAGGATTCAAACCATAGCATGTATAGCTGGCCTTGCTTTGCAGTGGCTCAACCTGATGTGCCATAGCTATTAAGTGAGCAAGATGTGTGAGATCACAAACATTTTTGTGGATCAACTCACCATAATATTAAGGCATGAGATTTTCAATGATAGAAAAGTGTTCCTGGAAGACACAAGAAGTTTGCCTAAACTGGCATTGAAGAAGAGCCAGAATAAGCTTCTTCAGAAAATAATTGAAATATGAACTGAGACCTAAGGATTTAGTAGAAATAGGCTGAGGATGAAAAGTGGGAAGAAGGGGAAGAGTATTACACATGGGTGGAAGAAGCCACCATGTGTAATGTCTGGGGGTTAAGAGAGTACAGCAGCCTGGAGAATCACGGAAGAACTGAGGCCAGATGCACAACGGTGGGCTTGTAGAATTGGGAGGGATAAGAAGGATTCTAAACAGAAAGGACATAAAACTCATGCTTAAGTATTTGGTCTTTGTCCTCAAGGTAGGAAGATTAGCAGAATCATTTTTTTAAAGATTTATTTATTTTTATTGGAAAGGTGGATATACAGAGAGGAGAGACAGAGAGGAAGATCTTCCATCTGATGACTCACTCCCCAAGCTGCCACAATGGCTGGAGCTGAGCCAATTTGAAGCCAGGAGCCAGGAGCCTCTTCCGGGTCTCCCATGCAGGTGCAGGGTCCCAGGGCTTTGAGCCATCCTCGACTGCTTTCCCAGACCACAAGCAGGGAGCTGGTTGGGAAGCAGGCCAACCAGGATTAGAACTGGTGTCCATATTGGATCCTGGGTGTGCAAGGCGAGGACCTTAACCTCTACACTATCACGCTGGGCCCCAGAATCTTTTTTTTTATTATTATTATTAATTGCATTTCATTTTGTGACACAATTTCATAGGCTCTGCGATTACCCCCCAGAATCATTTTTAAAGGAGAATTTAAAATTCTGTATAACTTGGACTTAAAAAAATCAACATATCCAAAAGAAATGTTCTAAAGCTATTTTATTCTTTATAATATACTCTACTCAAAAGATTGGTTGGATTTAAACTTCAATATGGCTTAAAATTTTCTTACCACTGAAATTCCTAGATCTAAAAGAAGGCTGATTCCTCCATAAGGTTTTGAAATTGACCATGACATATTCAAACCCATGGATGAAATCAGAAATAACTCTATTTTAAACTTCTGAAAGATTGGCAAGGAAACACACACTCAAGATAGACACACACGTTAATAGAACTGCTTCATCTTGATCATATCCATGAGTCCTTGTACGAATGTGTCTCCATGTAGATCATGAGTCTGTGCTCACACACAGGGAGGGCAAGAACTAATCCATCGGAAACAAACACAGGCTTTTTATTTTACAGTGGCTCTATAAGAGACCCCAAGCATAAGAATTGATGCTGTTATCATTGAGCAATCTACTGTCGGGCGCTGCTCTGTGTAGTTACTAGGGGATTCAAGTTCATAGACTCTTCACCAACATGGCTTTCATTAGGCCCTGAACATTGACATCCAGCTGATGGGCAAGGGAGGGTTTTTGGTTTTAGTTTTTGTTTTTGCTTTTTAATGGGACAGTTCTGGTAGTGGCTTACCTGCTTTCTACTCAAATTTTAATAGCAAAGTCACTCACAAAATCAAACTGCATATGAGGCTAGAAACACAAACCCTTGCTGAAAAGCCACTTCACAGCGTGAGCTGTACACTGTGCAAGGGAAACGCACATCTCTGGCAGAAGGTGTCCACTCTGAGGTCTTCCTTTCACTTTGTTTGTCCTTCCCAAATGCATCCACCTACACAAGAAAGGGGTTGACTCGCGGTCTTTACCTCCCGTGGTGCTCGAAGTGAGATCAACTCCAGCAGCTCACTGCAAGTACACATTGCAAACATGACCAGGATACATTTGTCCATCAATACACTCAGAGAAAAGAGTAGTCAGTCCTTGACAATAAGGTACTGGCATTGTACTCAAATCACTTTAAACTCACAGCAAAGAAATGTAGTCTATCCAGCAGTATCCAGCAGTATGCTGAATTATTCATCGTGCTTTATTCTTGTGAAGGATTTAATTATTGTCATAGTGCTAAGTGGTATTGTTCATGAGGAATGACTGAGGCCTAATGCTCTACAGAGTAACCGGACCTGAAGGAGTGGTCAGGAGGGGGCAGAAGGGGAAGCCACTCCTCTTCATACTAATGGTGAGGTTTGCCTCTGGCATCTATACAGTATACCAGACAGGAAAAGAACTTTTAGAGGAAAAATCCATTTTGATGAATATTAAAAAACCAAATGTTTAAACTTATTAAATGACTCTTCTAGATATATCATGGAACCATGATTATTGTTAGTGATATATCAGGAATTAGCACATTATGGCCTGTAGACCAAACCCAGCCTGTAGCTATTATTGTACAGATCTCATCAATCTCAGACTGGTTTTTTTCTTCCTGTTGTTGGCTGGTTATGCAATAGAGAATTCATGTAGCCTACAAAGCTTAAAATATTAACTATCTTCTCTTTATACAAAGTGCTTGCTGACATCTGATCTATATTATAAAAATTTAAAAATATTTTCACTTTCTATATAAGACTGTCTTATGATCTTGTATGATCTAGAAGACAAAAAGTGTTTGGCACTCAGCTCTGCTTTCAGACCAGAGATGGTCTCCCCAAGAAACCGTTGAATTGATCTGGACAATAAGATGCTGGATTCTATGCATGGTACATGCTTGCAATGAAAGAATCATGACTGGATTTGAACTGTAATATTGAAACAAGATGGAGGAATCCTCCATGGGGAGAGGGTACAGGGAGGGGTTGGGGAAACCCCAGAGCCTATGAAACAGTGTCACAAAATGAAATGTAATTTAAAAAAAAGCAACAGTACTTATCAGGGAAATGAATTTTATCTTACCATATATATGCATGCAGATTAATAAAGGGGTGTATACCTGTAAAAAAATATGCATTAGTAGACTGCCACTGTGATTGCAGCAAGGTGAGAGCTTTGTGTAACTGTTATTGCCCTCCACAAAGTTATATTTAATATGTGAAACCCTTTTCTTAGATTCAAGGTGGTGTTTTCAACTTAACTAGGTCTCTAAGGAACTGAAGTTGGTTTAGTTCATCTTATTCTTTTAGCTTATTTGAATATTATTTTTTTTGATAAGAGCTGATTGGAAATAATTTTTATAGAAAATAAAATCATGAGTTCATTTCCCCTCAAAAAAAAAGTGAGCAAATAGGCGCCCTTGCATGTGCTGGGTTCCCATATGATCACCGTTTCTAATCCAGGCCAACCAGTTTCCCATCCAGCTCCCTGCTTGTGGCCTGGGAAAGGAGTAAAAGACGGTCCAAAGCCTTGGAACCCTGCACCTGCGTGGGAGACCTGGAGGAAGTTTGTGCCTCTTGGCTTTGGATTGGTGCAGCACCAGCCGTTCTCGCCACTTGGGGAGTGAATAATCAGACCAAAGATCTTACTCTCTACCTCTCCTTTTAGTGTATCTGACTTTCCAAAAATAAAAATAAAACTTTAAACAAACAAAATTGTTTGGCACTAAATATTTTCTCAATGTAAGTATTTTTCAGCAAGTATTTTCATGGTAATATGAAAAACATACAAGCATAATTTTTTTGCATTCCAGTGTGATAGAATTGATATTAAATCTGGATAAACTTAGGTGCTAGCTATAGAGCAAATGCTATTTAGAAAAATATTACTTGTCTTCCTCCAGCTCTGAAGGTATGCCTTTTTCCCTTCACAATCTTTTCAAGAACAATGTTTTCATGAAAGCTATTTTAATGGACATAGTTTCTTAAACTTCAATTGGAAAAAAATTAATATTAATATTCAAGTCTTTTTCTTAGTAAGTACATCTTTATTTATAATATACATGTAGTAATATATGTACATAAAATATAATTCAATGTTTCTTAAAATTACATGGCAAAATTTATTTTCAAACTTATTTTCAAAATTATATTCAGACTAATAGCTACCTTTATTTCATAATTGTGCTTCCCTGTGAAATACTAGCTCAATTATTATAACAACTGCTAGAATTTCCTAAATGAAGTAAACAATTACTATACAGTTTTCCAAATTATACTGAAATATGTGAGGTTATTTGTGGTTTGTGTACACATTCTGAAGCTCATATGCAAC